GTTTCTTGGAAAAGGATTTGCTGCCAAATATTACATTTTATAACAGCAGTTTATGCTTCACAAACTCTTAAAATTCACTTTTTCTGACATAGTTTTGAGAAATATTTGTAGACCCTTTAGTTAAAATAACAAATATTGTCCAGTTTCTGTTGGTTGTGTCATTGCTCGGCTGTTTTTGCGCACAGCTGGGTTTCTCTGTCTTTGGCCGTATGCAGGATGACAAATCTGTTGTTTTTTTAAAAAAAAAATGACAGTTCAAATTAGGCAAAATTTCCAAAATCAAAATCAAAGACCAGAAGTTCCTTCAATTACTATGAGTGAACAGCTATCAGAGCAGTTAGTGAAATTTCTATGTTACAAAGAGAGTAATATCTCACAGTTTTCCTGACAAACAATAAAAAACAGAAATGTGAACAAGCTAAGCAGCCAGTCTACCTGCGCGCACACACACACACACACACACACACACACACACACACACACACACACACACACACACACACACACACGCTGCGCGGCAGAATGCACCAAAGTAGCTGCTGGCTTGTCACTATCACTGAATTCATTCATCCAACTCCACCTGGGAATGAGACGGACACGTGTGTTTACTCTAGATTCTATTCCCCCCGGGCAAACACACACACAACAGTATTATTCTTGTCTCCTGGCTGAGAAGAGGCAACCTTGAGGAAGCCGGTGAAGCTGAATAAATAGTGGCATCCAAACACACGTGTACACATGTATGCAAATACACCCATACACACACCTAAACAAACAGCAATGGCAGAATCACACACTAAGCAGCTCTCATTACCAGCAGGCACAATAAGCTGATGTCCAGAAACACAGAAGGACTACACTGCAGCCCAGCGAGACTGGAAGGACAAACCAGCAAGCCAGACACACACACGCTATGCTAATGTCTCCAACTGCATGTCCAGTAAAGCTTTTTTGATTTTGCAAAAAAAAAAAAAAACACAGATAAAATTCCTATGTGTAAATGTTTAAACATCATACAGGCTCACATAAATCTCTAATTTTAACCAGAGCAGAAAAGATGAGATTGGTTAAAAATGGGAGGCTGATGGACAGCTCTGGATTCTGTTTGTTTGTCACAACCCGAGCAGCATCAGCAGTTTCCTATTGGTTCCTTTTGTTCGACTGACGTAGATAAAGCACGAGAGAGCGTGTGTAAGTGGTCAGCACAGAAGGCAGTAGAAAGAAAAACACTGGCAGAGTGACATGATGTCAGGGGAAAAAAAAGCCAAATTTATAAATAACTCTTTATTTTGCATTTATATACAGTTTAACCAGTCTTTTTATACACAACTTTCCAGTTTATGTGGTAGAGCTTCATGCTTTTTCTTTCTGAATTGAAGTTAAATGGAGCTGTCTTTCCATGTGTTCATGCTAGGCTGTAACTCAGCACATCCCAGCTGATCTCTAAAAACATCCAAATCTGGGATTTTGTCTTGGTGTCTTAAAAGTTAAGTCAATGTCCGATGGTGTCCCCATCTCATATGTTATGTTCAGATAAAATTAATCTGTAATAGTAGTACTGCAGATTTTGGTGTCGGTGTGATACCATGTAAATACAGGGCCAGTGTTGCCAATACCAAGACAGATACTTTTACTTTATAAAGGCAGCTTATGTAGGGGAGAGCAATGTGTCATGATTTATGAGATGATCACCATTAATTTGCAAATCCTGAACACATTTTAATGACCACTAAATCAATAAACTTTTTTTCTGTGGGCTACTTATTGAACGTGCCAGAAAGAAACAGTGTATTGATCCTATGGTACTAGCATCGAACCGATACCAATATCAGAGTTGGTATGGATATTATTGATATTTGGATCGTTCCGCACGCCTCTATGTAACAGTAAAGATGGTAGCCTTGGAAATATTTAAAAAAGAAAATGAACAGGTTTAGTTTAGTTTATGTAACTAATACAGTATATGTGCCAAACAGATGTATGTTTATAGTTTCCTTCTCTGACACAGCTTCCTCACAGCGATCAGTAAAGGCCCTCATATCTTATGTACACCTGTACACACTTTACCATGTGCACACATACATGCACGCGCACAGCTAATGACGAGCCCCCCGGCTGACCCGCTGACCCTCATCACAGTAACAAAGAGGCAGATAGCAGCAGCAGGACAATAGGATGAAGAGGTTGCTTAGGGTGACGAGATAAAAGCAGTGACACTAAGGTGATGGAGAGATCAAAAGCGTGACAGGAGGACAACACCAGGAGTAAGGGTTAGAGGAAGTGAATGCACAGAACTCATCTTGGATCTACCCGGCTGGAAAGTGAGATAATTATTTTAGAAATTAAATGAAAATATCTCTGAAGAGAAAAATCACTGTAAAAATCCCTCCACATCCTGTCCTCCATGTGTGCATCAGGCAGGTATTTAGGTGGGTGTATGCTGGGTGAAGACTCCAGAGCATCACTGCTCAGTCAGTCAAACTGGACAGATTATCAGGATAAGAGTAAGAAACAGGCACGTCCATCATTCTGGCTTTCTCCAGCATGAAGACCACACCTTATCATCTCATCACTGTGCTGTCAGCAGCATACTCCCGAACTACACACACACAACCTGTCAATTTGCACTGATAACACGTCCATTATTCTTGGTTCAGTTTGACTGACAACATAAGCGTATTTTTAGGGACACAAAATCACACATTCCTAGCACTGCTTTAGCACCCCTACATGCGTGTTTATTACACATCTGAATTTCACTGTGCACGAACCCCCTCAGCATCGTAGTAGCTGCACCATAAATGTAAAAATCCTTGGCGGCTTCTTTCTTGAGACATAGCATTTACCAGACTTTCAGAAAACTTAACCTCATGGTCTAGGTCAGAGGTCACGATCAGTGACATCTGAACTTGTCTGAGATTTTTAACAGATGCCCCTATTGTATTAATTTAGAAATCCTATGACGCCTTGTTCTTGAGTAATCATGTAATCAAGTTTAAGGCTGAGGACTAAAAATTCTGTTGGGTGTTTGGAAAAGAATCATCTGATCTGAAAAAAAAGCGGACAAAGAAGTTTGCAGTAAATTTTAAATACATAGTTGAGTATAAAGGTTCTTAAAATGTTAATAAGTACTCAGTGTGTCCCCTTCTGCAAGCGCGGCACATGTCCACACGATAGTCAAACTCGTCCCATACTCCAGGTTTGCGAATTTGAGATGAACGAACCTGACCTGATGAACCTGACCTGTATCTCCTCCCCATGTCACTCTCATACCATCTCTCCCAGGGTCTTCAGTCTCTGCTGAGGCTGGAAATCACAGAAGATCAATCCTTAATTGTTTCTCACGAAGCTATAGCTTGCATCCTAGTCCCCCATTCCCGCCCACAAGTCACTACTCCATCATTTACTGTTAAATTAATGGATTTATTATAGTAATATTTTTCAAATAAAATGCAATTATAGAAATAAATTATATACGTTTATTTTCATCGAATTTACATTTTTACATTAAATTTTCATCATATTTAATGGTGCAATAATTGTTTACGAATTGAAAAAAATAAAGCAGGGTCATTTTGTAACTTTATGAAATGGTGGTGAGTTATTGTCTGTCCGTTTTCACATTTTATGCAACAGAATATTCCTGGGACTATAAATAAGTCAACTGAGAAGGAGTTTAATGCCTTCTGTATCATTTGTATTGTCCTGTACTTTTTTTTTTTTTAAGTACGTGAGGAAGTTTTAGGTATTGTCGGACAGTCTCTTTCACACAGTAATCCAAACCTTATACTTTCCCCTGAAAGATGTACTCATTTAACAAGAGCCCACAGTCTCACCTTGGAAAATGACTCGCTGAGTTTTAAATAGTTTAGCACTGTTGTCTGATTATCATATATCAGGCAGGAGGAGCTAAAACTGCATGCTCCTGATCTGTAGTCAGCTTCATCGACTTCCTCTTTACCCCAAATTGGCTGAGGCAGATGATCGTCCACCTTGAGCCTGGTTCTGCTGGAGGTTTCTTTTTGTTACGAGATTTTGTTCCTTTCTGTTATCACTACATACTTGATCAAAGGGAATCGTTTGTTTTCGATCCATAACACTGCAAAGTACCTTGAGATTATTGTTGTTGTGAATTGGCATGCCATGAATTAAATGTATTCAATGGATCTCTGGGTATTAGCCACTGCACTGACCTCATCCAAACTACATGCACATTGTTAAACTGAAGGGTTCAATTGGATTGTTCACTGAGGGAAACCAATATTTCTACTGAGCCTGTATTAAACATTATAGATTTCCTCCTGTGGAGAATCTATAACTCAAGTGTTTATCTCACTGAAAGCTCACACACACACACACACACACACACACACACACACACACACACACACACCGTCAGCCCTGGAAAGACTGAAAGAAGAAAAACTTTTTATAGAATAGCAATCTGATCAAAAAATAAAAGGTGGGCGAAAATTGTTTAACCTCCTAAGACCTGAACTCTTTCATGGCATGCATTTTTAATTTCTCTTTGATATTTGGGCATATTGGGACCTGATGAATGTAAAAACAAAGAATCACCAGATTTTTTTTTTTTGCAGTATAATGTCCTCGCAAGTGGATATCAGGTCCTTGTAGAGCAAAATTTAGTATTTTGGTCAAGACAACCTAAAATGTGATGTCCACATATGTGGACGCCAGGTCCTAGGAGGTTAAATGCAATTTTATCTTGAATCTCATCATTTTGATTTTAATAGTAAAGTTAAAATGAAAATGTTTAAAATGGACCCTTTGCAGTATGTTTTAAGTTTCAGTTTGATCTGATGAACTAACAGTATGATGCTCGTTGCACATCATACTGAATTGGAAGAATGGGCTGCAAAAACAGCTTGATTAGAGCCATCGGAATCACCTGATCTGTGTCTGGATTCTTCATATAAAAGGATGTAGAGAAACAGAATTGTCTGTCGAGGTTCAAATTTCAATGCTTATACAATTCTTACCTTTGGGAAGTACTTCAGCACCATGAAGGAGCCCTTCTCTCTTTAGAGATGTTTGAGTTGTTTTTGCTTTTAGCTTCAGCGTTGACCGTCACAAGATGTTTGTCCTAGAAAAAGGGGATAGATGCGAGAAGATGGTTATTCATGCACAAACTGCAAAGCCACTTACTGGAGTACCTTAAGTATTTGGGCTTAAACACAGCCTCTTTTCAGATGAAAAGAGGAAATAGAAAGGACCAAAGCCTGGAGTCAATGAATCAGTGAAGGAAAAAATGAGGTGGGATGAAAGCAGCCACATGATGCCTCTCAAACACTCTGGATGAAATTTTTCAACCTGGCATGATTTCGTTTTTGCAAAGTTTGATCAGCTACCACGTTTACCACATTTTGACATCAGATAAAAATATGACACTGTTGAAGAGGCAGCACTGTCAATTTTTTCACCTGCTGTCATCTCTCAGCCTTGAGCAAAGTTATTTGCTTTAGTTGGGAATTGTCAGATCAGGGACAAGAATGACAAAGAGTGAATAAACAGTGATTCCTGCAAAGACAAAGTATTAAATCGTTCACACAAAGCTTCAGGTCAAAAATGTCTCTTCCGCAGTGGTGAGTTTGTGCTTGTGTTGTTCTGATGGTCAGGTACAGATGCAACTTTAAGATCTCTGCATTTTACTTACATAACACATTTGTAAATGTTGCAGATATGAACAATAGATTCTAATATGTACTCTATAGACTGCTACACAACAGGTTTGATCTTAGTTTGAATTATTTTACAGACATTTTTCAAGAAACTCAAACACCGTCTCTAAATAATTAACAGACATTCAGCTGAAAATATCACAAATATTAACATTTTGTAGTTAATATTACATCGCGTCATGTCAGAGTGCTTCATGGCTTAACTCGTTAGCCCTTGTTATGTCCCCATGTTGGTCCCAAGAGTAAACAAATTAACATGAAGAGAGTGTTTGAGTCAGCTTGAAATGGTTTAATGATGAGATGTTAAAAAGGAAGCATAAATTTACTTCAGGGAGAGCCAAGGCCAACTTAACTAACAAAACAAAAGAGCATTAACTTTAAACAAAACTCCATCAACTATATAACTTAAGTCAAAAGAAACTTTACAGCACCTCAAGGTGGTGACAGCTCTCCTTTTACGAGCTTCTCTTACCAATGTGACAAAGAACCAATTAATAAAGTAGAATAAGCACAAACAAGCTAATGAGAAGCATAAAAATCTGAACCTAACAAGCATAAAGCAAAGCCTAACAGTGCATTAACCACACCTACATATGTCCTGGAGGGCATCCATTGGCTGCAGGACTCAAACCCTGGCCAATGACATGAAAGGCAGAACCTGGAAAACCTAGACCTGAAAGCAGCATGGTAAACATGACCCTTTACATACACATTACATTGGTTTTAAGTGAATGTACAAGCCCTGAACGTACTTTGTAGGTGAATTGTGAATGTGGGCCGACCGTGGTTCAGCGGGTTGGGAAGCTCATCTTGTAACTGGAAGGTTACCGGTTCGATCCCCTGCTCTGTCTGTCTTGGTAGTTGTGTCCTTGGGCAAGACACTTCACCCTGCCGCCTACTGGTTTTGGCCAGAGGGGCCGATGGCGCGATATGGCAGCCTCGCTTCTGTCAGTCTGCCCCTGGGCAGCTGTGGCTACAACTGTAGCTGCCTCCACCAGTGTGTGAATGAATAGTGGTATTGTAAAGCACTTTGAGTCTCGAAAAGCGCTATATAAATGCAATCCATTATTATTAATTAAGCTGTACTACTGTTTATCTAATGAACTGTGGGACAAGCCTAGCTGTAAATGTCAACCTCCAAGTTCTTCCTCATAGGGAGTCCTCCACTTGTTTAGCTTTTCTCTGTATTATTGGTGGTTCTTTACCTTACAATATAAAGCGCTTTTAGATTGTCTTTCCTTAAATCAGAGAAAGTCCGTTTCTAATGAAATGAACCTGTTCATGTTTCTGCTGGATGGCAGTTTAACAGACATGTCCACCGTCTCAATCACCTCATCACCACAATGCCTCTCTCTGCCTCTCTTAGTTTTCTCTCTCTCATACTGGCACCCTCTCCTCTTATATCACGAATTTTCTCTGCCACTCTTCTCTACTACTAATACACTCTAACACAAACACGTCCTCAACAAAAGGTTCATTCATAACCTTGCCATTTTCTACTTCTCCCCCTCTACTGTCTCACTCCCTCGTCTCTACCTCCATCCTCTCAAGGTCTCGGAGAATAATGGCAGATAGCAGATTAGCATTCGCCTCTTTGCGATGTGGTTTGACTCACAAACACACATGTGGGTACATGCAGACTACTGCAAGGCTGCTTGCCAACACAGAGATAATAAATGTGAAACAATTATCACTGTGGAGCTGTTAAACTAATCTGTGACCACACGGACACACACGGGTAGTTATTAATCTGTATATAAGCCTATGAAAGACTGTCACATCACATTCTGTGAAGTTTAGTTTTCTGAATGTGTGACCCCGAGTAAAATGTAATGCAGTGTGGCACCATGTCAAAGATTAAAATAAGCACTATTGTCCATTTCACTGACCCATCACGGTTGTATGGAGTGACACATCAGTGTCCAATGTAGTGGTTTATGTGCAAGTACACCATCAACACTGACACAAATACAAGAAAACAGCCTTTGAATAGCTGCCCACTGCAGTGACCACTATGTGTGGAAGGGTTAAAAGGAGTTTAGATGGCTTTTACATCTGACTAGGATGCCTCCCTCCTGCATGCCTTCTAGATGTTTAAGAGGGCAGTCCCAGGACATGCTGGAGAGATTGCGCTCGGCTTGCTTAGGAGCACTCTGGTGTCCTACGTGAAGAGGTACAGGAGTGGGCTGGAGAGAGGGGTTTCTTGGCGTGTCAGCTTTGACTGCAGCCCCGTGAAGCAGACAGGAAATGGCTACGTGGTCATCAGATGTCTCAGTGTAGAGTTTCAGTGCCTCACAATGACCAAAATGTCATTCAGAATATTTCCCACCCCGAAAAGAATAAACAGAGTTATTTTCAAATCTGTTTTGTCGTTGCTTATTTGACCTGTCTCCTCTTCTCCTCTCTCTCCAAAATTCCTTTTAATATCTCACAGATGGTTTCACTCATTAAATAGAAAAGTAAATCAATAGCATGTCGATTAGTTTCTGACAACCCTCTCGTGCGTGTGTTTATACATCTTTGTGACGACAGATAATTGGCATGCCACTATATTTGTGGGGTCCAACAGTCACTTAGGGGGACAAAATGCTCATCCCCAGGAGTTTGAAGGCAGTTTTGAGGCTCAAAATGTGGTTTTAGTGTCAGGGTTACAGTTAGGTTATGGGTAGGTATGGGCTAAGGGTTAGGATTAGGCATTCATTTTTGATGGTTAAAGTCAGTGTAAGCTGCTGGGGAAGCATTATGTCAATTAGATGTCCTCGCTAAGATATGAGTGTGTGTGTGTGTGTGAGCAAGAGAAAAAACTGATGGTATTATTCAGCCAACAACCTCTTTAACACACACACACACCCACACACACACACACACACACACACACACACACACAAACACACACACACACACACACACACACACACACTATGAAAGCGACAAAGACGCTGGGGGAAACGATTGATGGTTATCAGCCCCTGTAGGAAATTAAAGGGATGGTCCAGTGTTAATATTTAGATATGCAGATTGGTGACAGAGGCTTCTCTCGCTGTCTGTCAAGCATGTGCACACCACCAACCCACCCTCCCATTCATACAGACGCACACACAAACACGTGCACAACTACCTATAGGTACAGGTAAACTGAGTGGTGTGTATCAGTGTGGAACTGCAAATGGGATGAGCAGCTTGATTAATCTGTGTGACATGAATACCAAATCAGAGGCTAAAAAGTGTGCGTCCATGTCTGAGTGAGTGCAAATTGATGTGATGATGATGGATGTGTGTATGCATGATGCAAATATAATAATAACAACATCAAACTTTGTTTATATAGAACTTTTCCCAACAATAATGTGCTTCACAGAAAGACTTTTTTTTAAATCCAAGAAATAGTTAAAAACGCAGCAAATACAGACTATGAAATATTCATGAAAGCTTCATGATAAGCATTTTAAGAAGAGATATGAAAAGATAATAAGGAAGTTACCATTCTGGTCTGAATGGGGGCTCTAATACCAAAAGTCTGCTGGGGTTTGTTTGCTAGCCAAGACCTCAGAATAACCAGCAGCACCCCACTCACCAATCCAAGTAAGCACCCAGGCCCATTAGGGATTAATAAGTCATAGAAATTCTTAAGAACTAGGCCATTATATGCTTAAAATTAATTGGTCGTGCCTTTTTAAATCTTAAAAAGGCACGACTGGACACTTTTTAATGTAAGCATCAAATCAGAGCGTGGTGTTAAAATAACTCTGAGATTTTTAGCAGTTTGACAGCTTTGATCAATGAACCAAGTTTACTGTAGGCCAGGGTACTGGAATTTTACGAATTACTAATACTGTAGTTTTCTCATGACTCTTTTTTGTAAAGTTATGTGACAGCTAGCATTTAGGCAGGTGAACACAGTATCAAGGCTTCTGGAGTTGTTTGAGGGGGAGGGACATAACTGTGTGCCATCTGCATAGCTGTGGTGAGTGATATTATCTCTATTAATGATCTGGTTGAAGGGAAGAAATATACTGAAAATAAAAGTAGACTAAGGACAGAGCCTTAAACTACTAAAACTGTATCAATTCTTTCATCTTCCAGGAAATGCCTGGATACTCTCACCCAATGAGGCTGGGTATTGTTGTGCACCAGGAGGAATCCAGGACCCACTGCAACAGCGGAGGGTCTGACAGTTGCTCCAAGGATTTCATCCTGACACCTAATGGCAGTCAGGGTGCTGTTGCCTAGCTTGTAGAGGTCTATGCATTACTCCATGGATATGCCTCCCCAGTCCATCACTGACACATGCTTACCAATGTTACAGGCAGCATAACTTTCTCCATAGCTTCTTCTGATTCTTTCATGTCTAACATGTGCTCAGGGTGAGATTTGAGGAACTGGTGATATAGAAAACTACTATTGG